ACCTTGATAGAGATGATGACAAGGCCATAGAATGACATTGCCTTTTTCCTTATGTGAATTTTCTAACTTTTCTGTAAGGAATATACAATAACAAAATGAGTCGTTTTAATTAAAATGGGACAGTGAATTCAATGCTTATGAAAGCACTTTGTAAACTGTCAAACACGCTATGAATTAGCTCTTATTACAATCCTCATTTTGGCAATTATTATTGCCAATTGGCTCTGGGTTGAAATTTTTTCTGCCCCAAGTCTCTTTCTTTGCGTCACCGTGGGAGTACCCACGTGACTCCCTCCCTCCATCTACACCCAGCTGATGTCTCTCCATCTCTGTGCTTCCCCCTAGTTTCAGAGCCCACATTATCCCTGTAAAACCCTTTATTGGGGTTCTGCTTTTCCATGCTGCAGGCTGAGCGATCTTTGGGAAGTCAACCATTAGGTCAGGTGTCTCTGCTGCCTCAGAGCGCTCAGCAGTGTCTCATGACCTCAGCGTTAAACCCATACTGCACCTTGGCCTGTGCTGTCCTTTCCCTGTCCCTTCAGCCTCTTGGCCAGTTGCCCCATTGTCACTAAATGACGGGAATGTGTCTAGGTGCAGACACTCAGGAAAGCGACCTGGGAAAGCAACGGCCACGACTTCCATTTCCAGCCTGTCCGTGGGTATCGTTTGACTCCATGCATTCACATCTGTTAGTGTGGAGGACACGAAAGCTGGACATGGTTGCCCCAGAGTCTGTAGCTTTAGACCACATTTCTATTTTGTACTGTCAATATAGCAAATGAGTAAAAAAAAAAACAACCATTAATACCCTGCTGGATTTTTAAATTTCTATTTTGTGTGTATGCTTGCTGGAGACAGACAGTGAGAAGGAAAGTGAGAAATCACCCCCAGAGTGGACGGTCACACCACAATTCCCTCTCCTCCTGGGGTCCCGGGCATCCATGCACATAGACCCATAGTGATTCTCAAGTCACCAGGTCCAGGACCTGAACCACAGTTGGCCATGTGGGAATCCAGTGCCCCAAACACCGTGCCAACTGTTAGTCCCAGCTCCATTCTTTTAATGTTGGGAGACTTGGGAAAACAAAGAAGCCTTTCCTCCTTCCAGACCTTTGCTGTTGACGTATTTTGGCCTGTTGTGCTCTCTCTCGCTCTGCCTCTTGTGTGTGACCACCTTCTTATCCTTCAGGTGCATCACTTCCTTAGTGACCTTCCCTACTCACACGATGAACGTTCTCCCCCTCAGGCCAGCTGATGACCTGGTGATTAAAACAGATCCCATGTGGCTGACTGCATGTTTGACTCCTGGACCTGGAGGTTTGAAAAACAGGCTGGACATGTGTGTGTGTGTATGTGTGTGTGTATGTGTGTGTGTGTGTGTGTGTGTGTGTACCCACAATCTTAAAAATGAAGGAAAGATGGAGGAGAAGGGATTGTGGTGTGGCTATGGCCCAAAGAGGGTGCTTTCTCACTCCCCTCACTCCCCATCTATCTCTGGCAAGTTCGTGTACCTTCTGGCAAATTCAAAAAGACCAAAATTAATAAAAAGAAAGTTCTCTCTCCCATACTCTCGTATTTTATTTTTAATTTCTTAAGTGAAATTTTTAGTTGAGATAATTATGGATTCACTGGTAGTTGTAGGAATAGTACAGAGTGATCTCTTGTGTCCTTCGCCCTATTTCTCCAGATGGTAACATTTTGCAGAACTATAGTACAGGGTCACAAGTTGCCGGGGTCTAGCCTCGGCATGGGTGGGTTATTTTGACGAAGGCGGCGAAGGTGAACAGAAGACAGAGGCCTCGATGCTTTCTCATGCACGTCTTATGCCGGACACCCCTCAGAGGTCTCCCTCTGAGGAGTGACAACTGCTAGGAATTATCGTGCGTTTTTATTGAAAATGTGTTACATATAAGTAAATGGGAGAGGGGCTATGCGTTTTAATTATTAGCTCATAAAGTCTTTTAACAATAAAGAACATAGATTTTATTTAGGGGTGGATTAAAGGTGGGTCTAGTGCAGTTTTTTAATTGTAGGTGGGTCTCTATGGAATGCAGTTTCGGGAAAGCGGTTTTGGTAAGCAGAGATGATTATCAGCTGATGCGGTGCAGCAGCCATCTTGTGATTACTGGGAATGGTGTTGAGAAAAGAAAATTTTAAGAATAGATATTAGTTTTTATGGGTCTAATAAAGAATGATACTTATACAGTTTTGTAGGGATTTAAAACTTAATTTGAGGAATCTTAATATATTTATTTATTTTACTTGGAGAGGGCGGAGGTGTCCTGGGCCAGTTTTGGCCTAATCTTATTTTAGGTAAAGAAAGGATTAAGTTTACCTTAAATGTATTTTGAAGGGCCTTCCAAAGGTCAAGATTACTTCTGCCTAGAAAGAACTTCAGCCCACCCTCTATTGTGACCATGGAGATAAAGCATTGTAATTAATAGTAAGTGATCAGAGCAAAGGGGAGCGGTCGG